TTTCCTGGATTAATAACAAATGCTTAATTTGTTATTTTAATTCATTGGTCTTGTATTTTCCATCTTAACTTATATTAAATTTGTATTTATCTTGAAAATATCTATAGATGTCAACATCAATTTAGGTCTCTACTTGAAAAATGTAAAAAAACTTATTATGGGGAAAAGAATTTACTCTGATATGTATTAAAAGATTAGAGTTAAATGTTTAAATTGTTTTCTTTCAGAAATCACTGTCTATATTAGATCATTCAGATTATTCTGGTGAACATTTTGCTTCTGATCATCATAGAAATCAGTTACACGAATCATTGGAAAATAAAGTAAGTTTGAAAAATCTATTGAAATAATTTTGTTATAATAATGTAAATTTTAAAGTCTCAATATTTTTACAGAGGTTTAATGGTACAGTTACAAAAATAGTAAGAAGAGCACTAATGCTGCTTCAAATGTTTGCCATTACCCAGTTCGGATGTGGAAGCAGAGCATTTGAAAGAAATATGTTGAAGAAAACAACTAAAGGTTCTCATTGGGGGTAAGATTTCAGTTTACTCCTTTAGTTCTGTTGTTTAATATTTTTTATAAATTTAAGTTTATTATAAAATATATGAAGTTATTTATTCCGATTAGATTTAAATAAAAACAATTATAATAAGTGCAAGTCATAGTTCAAATTAAATAAGCCAAACAAAAACAATCAGGTTTAATCTGCTTTTTGTTTGGTTGCATTGAATAAATATTGAAATTGTTTTTATCTAAATATATTCTTCCAATAAAGTATTTAATGTTAGGATTATATAATAATAATCCTAACATTAAATATTTTATTGTTATATAGTAGACTTGAAATCATTTGGCCCATGATTATCTGGCCTGATCAGCCATGTTTATATAAAATTTTTTATATAAACAAAAATACAAAATAATTATAAAAATGTGATTACTTCATATTTTTTGTGATAATTTATCATTTAGTGTTATTAAATATTAATAATGCATAAAAATGCAATTTCAAACGTAGATTATTCTGCAGATAATGTGTCATGGTAATTACAGGCATCTTACTGGCTTGCTTTTGCTGAAAATTTTGTATCAAAATGTTACCACATGAATAATAAAAATCACAACTGAAAAATAACCCACTTATGGGATGCACAGATGTACTTGACTAGAAATGCCTTATTTTCAGTCTTGTGTTACTGTATCTAGTTTTTTTCTTATCTGGTTCAGTTGTCTGCCACATTAAGCTAGATAATCACAAGTCTACTGTATTAATAAATGAAAGTTGTTTATATAAACTTTAATCTAGTTTGTTAATGGAAATCCTAAGTTTTTCTACTGAATATAAATAAATGTTTGTTTTTAGTGATCTACGTGCTCAATTAGAAATAATTATCAATCAAGTTATAGAATTGGTGGAAAATCAAGAACCACCATTTGAAGACAGTGATTATACTAGTGATTCTGAAGATGTAAGTATGAAAGTATTAATTAATTTTCAAAGTTAGTTTGCTGTTTTTATCAATAAAATTGGCATTATTATGATAACATTAAACTGTAATTTTAAAACAAAATTACAATTACACTTGAAAAAATTGAATTAAAAAGTTCTATCTGTATAAATCTTATTAAAATATCATTTTTATCCAAAATTTAAAATGCTTAATTTATTATATATTTTGATGGCTATATTTAAAGTAAACAATGTTAAATTTGTGTTTTAAGTCATTAATTTTATTTTTAACTTAAAAATAATTAGATTGAAAATTATAAATTCATTAGAATGAATTATATTAACATTGTGTTAATATGAATAATTGTAAATGTTATTTAAAAGCAAAATTATATAATTTGTGTTTATTTTTATAATTTTGAACTTTTATGGTTTTATATGCTTTTGTATTGATCAGTATTGATCAATACAAAAGCATATAAAACCATAAAATCAGCTTGATCAGTATTTTTGCCCTGTTTTCAAAACTATTTAATTACTGTAAAAGTTTGTTCTAATTAATTTTAAGATTAAAATTTAATCTTAATTTTTATAATAATTAGGTTTGTTTTAAAATTTTTAAAGGCACCTGTCATACAATGTAATGAAAAATTAACTACTGCAGTCAGAAAAGATCTAGCAGCTGCAATAAGAGATCTCATGCAACATGGATTAATGCCGGTAATAAAAAATTTGTTAATTTAATAATTTACAAATTAGCATCATAAAATATTCTGTATTAATATCTGTTAAAATGAAAACTTGACTTATCCAATTCTTATTCAAACAATGAACATTTTATTAAGAAAATATGCCTTATGAAGATTTCTACATTGTAAACAAAACAAATATACAAAATCTAGTCAATGTATTAAAATAAAAAATATTGTAAAATTAGAAATGTTTATATATTTGATTTTAAAAGTAAAAATTTTATTTGTAATACATTTAAATACAAAATTTTGATTTATACAGTAATTAATATTCATTAGTTTTCATCAAATATTTGATTATTAATTAATATATATTAATTTTAAAGATAGGACAAAGCTCCAGTCTAGTCCCATTGGGCTGCTTTTTTTCTCATTCATCATCAGTTGTAAAAACAATGCATGCATGGGATTTAATCATCGAATATTATGATCTGAAAGTATGTACAAATTAAATTTTTTTATAAAATTATGATTAAAGTAATTTAAATTACATTTTATATATTATTTCTGTTAAAAAAATATATTTTAAAAATCATTATAGCAGAATCTGTTTATTATAATCATGAATATTGTAATCAGTGATTTAATTAAAGATTGAATAGGACCCTACCTGAAGGACCAGTGGACACTTCTGGTATGTCCTGGAAACATGCTTGTAACTCTTGACTGGGGCATATCAGCAGTTCCTGGTTGGTCATGATATCCAGGGTGGATGGGAGTCAAGAAGTCAGGAAATTCTATTTCATTTTCTGTAGTTTAAAGTATTTAAATTTCTAGATATCACTCTGAGGAAATTTTTTTTTTAATAAAAAAGCAGTTGCTACTTTAATATTAACTAAATCTAAATGCAGTCAAACTTCTATATAATGAAGTTGCTAAATCCTGAAAAAAATTATTTCACAGAGAAATTTCATTATACAGAAATACTTTTTGGTAAATAAAGTACTATTTTAATGTAAATTTTTTTTCATTATTTTCCCATAATTTAAATTAATATAACTATAATATACAGTAAAAATGAAATATATAAACATAGTTTTAATTTTAAGTAAGTTAAAATACTTATAACATATACCTTAACTATATTTTTGTAAAAAAAATTGTAATTTTTTCTTGCACAAAACAATTAAAAATTGTTTTCTCTCTGTAATATGTTTCACACTTACTAAGAGCATTATAACTGCTTCATCTATATCAATGTAAATGCATGCTTTAACATGTTTTCCTGTTGGTCTTGCATTATTGACTAATTTCAAAATTGATTTGTGATTTGTTATGATTAATAAACTACTCACAGGATTCTAAACTTTGCTACAATGTCTCTTTTTTTTTTTTTTTTTTCCAGCCTTTATCAACTTTCTGCAACACATCATTAATATTTTTAGTAATGCTTAAACACTATATTAACAGTTCTTCAAATTCCAACTGGACTACTTATTAAATAAAATAAAATCTCCCCCTTCTTTATAACTGGTAGCCATGTGGGGTAGATCACATAATGGCTAACAACCAGTATTTCTCTTACCTGCAATGCAGTTTTACAAAGGGTTTACAAATTGATTCTGGAAATTGAACCTAAATTTGAACTTGATTTAAATGGAGTGACATTTAATGATTGATGGTCCTTATAAATTTAAAAAAATTTGTTATATAGAAATTTAACTTTGTTATTTAGAAGCAATTTTACATACATTTTTGGATGAAAGAGCAGTGTACAATGCAAAAGTTTGTTATATGGAGATATTTGCTATATAGAAGTTTGATTGTATTTGTTGTTAGTATGATTAGTCATAATTAAAGATCACGTGCAATTAAAATCTCTTTTTGTTTCTTATTCATTTAATAAAATCACAAATACTTTTAAGAATAAGTTGCATAGTTTGAAAAAATTTAAATTTAATTTATATAGAATGGTAGACAGTATAATTCATCACCAGCAAGAAAATTATCACAAAGTTTTAATTTAGACATTGTAGGAGGAACAGCAATCACTCCTAAGCAGGTAATAATTTATCTAGATTTTAGATTTATAAGTTATATTGAAAAATAAAATTATTGCATATTTTAGAACTTGTTTTAAATGGTTATTAAACTTATTTAATTTCTTAGACATTATTAAGTGCAATTGATAACATTATTACTACACATACGCCACTAAAAAGGAGTGCAGATTCTCATTTTAAGGCATTTATAAGTGCTGCTCTAAAGTATGTATTTTTTCAAATTATTTTTGTGTATTAAAAATTATTTTAATTAATAATGTTTATAATTTAATAGTGAAAAGAAATTAGTTTCATGGTTAAGATTAATCTTCAGGACTAAAGTACTTATAGACAGATTTTATCAACCTTGGAGTTATGTTTCCAGAACAGGTAAATTTTGCAATTGATATAATTCTAAAAATAAAGAATGATAATTTTCAGTCCTTTGTGTCAATTGAATGTATTTATCATAATGTAAAAAATAGGAAAAAATTATATATTTGGTAAAAATCCTAAATGCAGTTCCATACATTTGGTATTTGCTGAATGCTGAGCAAATATTTGGCCAATACTGAGTAGTGTAGGTGATTTAATGATTAAATCATGTTCCCAGTCAGTTTGAGTCATTTCATCATAAATGATTCATGATTAGTATTTGGTATTTACTGTTCCCCACTCCTTGCAGGTATATTGTGCCAAATAAGCAGTTGTTTTGCAGTTGGCAAATACTAAATGTGTGGAGCCAAGAGATATCCAAAAGAATCATCTGTAATCTGTATATTTTAAAGTTTGTTTGAATGATTATTCAATATTTTGGCTTAAATTGATGATTGACTAAAAAAATAATAGTAAGCTATTAAATATTAATTCTTCTTTAAGATTCTGTAGTATTTTCTGTAATTTATTTCCTATTCCTTTATCATTATAAAAACCAAATGAAAAATACTTGTATATAGCAGGTCTTTGATTTAACAGACTAATTAGAGGAAAAATGTGTGTACTATTACCAAAAGTCCATTAAATTAAATGTTTTAACAAATATATAAATAATAAATGTAATGAATGTCTTACAATGTTCAGGATATGAATTAAAATGTTATGTAATGTACATTGAGTAATTTATCTTCCATTGATTCAATCTTCTAGCAAGCTCTATTCACAAATTAAATAAAGATTCTAAATTCCTTTAGAACAGAAATGTTTTGTCAAACCTGAGATCCATTAAATCAAAGGTATACTGTACTGAAAGTAAATATTAATTTAAAGTTTAATGTTTGAAGAATTTGCTATAAGCAATAATTATCAATAATAATAATAATACAGTAATTTAAACTTTCTTTCAGATCGTACAGTCAATGCTCAAACGTTTAAAGGAATTAGAATCAACTGCTGNTTTATTTCTTCTATTTATGTAAATAAATGTAATGGTTTTTGTAAATAAGTGTTTTAATACTGTTAACTAATATAAACGATTATTTTAAGTCAAACTTAGTTTTCTTCAAAGTAATATTTTTAGATCTCTTGTTTAAGATATTTTGTGATATTAGTTGAGTACTAATTTTTCTTTTCTTTGTTTATACATAAATGTATTCTATAAGTGTCTGTAAATCTTCAAATTTTTTTTTTTCAAGAAAAATTGAAGATTTACAGACACTTGTACAAAATTTATTTATTTTGGATAAATTTCTAATATAATTAGGCTAAGAAAAAATAATTTTTGTTACATTATTTATTTTTTGGTATTATGCAGAAGATAATTGATGAGACTAAATAAATATTACTGTATCTTAAGTTATGTCCACTTCAGATAATGTTTATTTATTCTGATTACTCTGATTTTTTATATTAAATATATTATATGATAAATGAAATTTTAATCTCTTATATTTATATTATTTGTTGCACAGAATCAATGTAAATAAAAAAGAAACCTCAAATTGCTTTTCTAATTTCATGTATCGGATCATTTTCAGTTAATGGAAAAACTTCTGTAACTATTCAGTAATTTTCAGAAGTTAAAAATATATATTAAACAAATAAATGTTACAAAATGGAAATTGTATATATATAATTTCCATTTTAAAAAATTTCTGAAAAGTTAATTTTTATAATACATAACAGATAACCTTAATCTACAGTTAAGTAAATAATCTATTTTAAATAATTCTTATATGTATGTACAGTACATGATACATAAGTGTTATTTTATGAGAATCTTTTATTATAAAGTTCAAAACTTTCTAACGATAAGGTTGCATAGACTCCAGACTAAGTGTTTCGCATAGACTCCAGACTAATGCATTTATTTTAAAATTGAACAAAATGAAAATTAAATGCAATAGATCAAAATTATAGCATTTACGTATTGTAAATGCTATAATTTTGATTACATTCTAGCATAAAGTTAAGTATTTATCTAAAAATTATCGACCAGAAACATTAAGAAGTAACAATTCATTCAATATAGAATCTGATAGTATGGTTTTCATTTCAATCATCAATGGATCTTCGTAAATCATGAAGAAAGGAAAATAGTAATTTTTGAAATATTAAATTAAGAAAAAACATAATGCAACATGAATTTTGGAGATACACAAAATATAATTTACAATTTCTGTACATCTAATAATTTATATTATTCTAAATGCCAACATTCTGATGATTGTGGCTTTGCTAGCTTGCTAACATTGATAATGTCCTTTTTAAATAATTATTTGAATTATATTGATTCTATGCAACTTCTTATATGAAAGTGCTATAAATTTTTCTTTTTTTAAATTTATAAAACATTTTAAAATATGAAAAGTATCAGAATTTGTTTAAAATATTAGTTCTGTTGATAGAAAAATAATTTAAATTTAATTTTCATTATTAATAATAATGTTTTTATTATTGTCCGAATTCAGTTTGAGTCGTTTCGTAAATAAATTTTTATACTCATATAAACTAAGTGTGAAGTGACATAGAACTCACTAGTATATAAAGAATTTAGAGATTTCTCATACTACTATAAACTGATGCTCATCTTACAGTATTAATTCAATAACTCTATGACTTACTGCTAACTTTACAGCTTGTCCATCATATTGTTATTTATTAAGTGGTTTGAAATCGTTGCATCTACATGAAGGATTGTAAGACATAAGTACCTTCGAAATCTCTGAAAATGAGATGATTTGCATGCCTCAAATGATTGCGTTTCCTGCTAAGAGTCAGCACATTCGAGGATTACATAGTCAGTCAATTCCAAGCATTAACCTATCAGACATTTCTTCTGATGCTAAAGAATAATTGTTTGTGTCAAGTAAGCTAATCTACCATTACATATAAATGTTACCTTATAAAATAAAGAGATCTCGTGTAAAATCTTGACATTATAATAGTTCAAAATTTACTAACTGTTGTAAATATGAAACAAGTTGGCATTTTAATGCTTCTTTATTCAGTTAGAAGAATAATTATAACTTTCTGTAACTAAAAAACATATGAAGTTTATATTCAAATGAAATTATTCACATATTTAAACATTGATACATTAATTTTTTTTTCTAATCCAAAATGTTTTGGATTATATTTATTAAGATATAACATATTTCAATTATGACTAAAATTAATAATAATTTTAAGCTAATGTTATTTGTGAAACAATAATTGAAGTGAATATAATATAATTTAATTATAATTATTACATATATATATTATTAGAGATTTTATATAAATGTTATCAGTAAACATAGAGTTACTGAATTTCAATTATTATATTAGCAATAACATTTACTTAAGTAACAAAATTTCACAGTTGTTTTAAGCTTAAAAATATGAAATTTATTTATAACTAAAACTAATGAAAACGACAATGTTATTTTGAAAGCTTTAATTTTTTAATATTCCTCTCAAATTTTTGTGAAATCTCAATTTAATATTTAAACTGCCACGATAGGCCGACTGAAATGAGGTCTGGACTTAATCTCCGATTTAGACACTTTTTACAAGTCCAAATCGCATCATATTTGTGAAATGTTAAGCTAATCTGATTCAAACTCCATAGTCAATGGCTGGCGCAAACTTGAGCTTGATCTCTGCCGATGAAGAAATTTTTAATCACGAGAATTTCAGATGTACTTTTTATTGTATAATTTTCAAAAAAATATACAAAAAAATAAAATTAAATATTTTCACTTTATTGTGTGATAACTGTCATGCTATGACTTAATAAAATATATTTGGGTAATGTAATATGAGATCATTACTCCTCCTTTGAATAATAATAAAGTACAAGAACTTAAATTGTAGTCTGGTATTGTAAGGATCGAAGCTGTGTCTCGTTTAGCTCGTGCGAATCCAGCCGTGATTACAATTCACAACTTAAAGTTGATCTGTTTTGTTTATCATCTTTCGAGATTGAATCTATTCTTTTGTTTACGAAGAAACTAAAAATAAATCTCCAAAAAGATTTGTTTCTTTGAGTAATAACTAAATACATCCAAGACTATAATTTTATTTAGAAGTTATAACGAAAGTCAGATCATTATGATAAGATATGGTTTTGTATCAGTTTTCAGATATATTAAGTCTAGATCTCTTACATATTGGCCTAATATATTTTAATTTTCATACATTATTTTGTTATAAGTTTGGTTAAATGTACTTATTATTATTATTATTGGTTAATGAAAAGAATAGTGAATATTAATTCAAAAAGTTAGTGTTAAACATGAATCTTATGAACTGTGTGTAAATTAAATTTTTTTAAGACTAATTTCACTAATTGTATTTCTAAACAAAACAAAAAAAAAAGGCAAAAAATCAGTAATTTCTACTACTATTTGTAAATGAAATTTGAATAATTGTAATTAGATTTAGTTGGAATCTGTAAAATCCAATTGGAATATTTGTTTTATTATGCAAAAGTTTATTGTTAAATTCTTTTCATTAAAAGTAATTAAATTGTCTTTTTTGAAAGTTACTTGCTTCATTTAATTATTTAATTAATTATGTAATATATTAATTAATTTACATAAAAATAGATTTTACTTATCCAGTTTTTTAATGTAGAATTAGAGGATTCGGATTTTATGCACGCGTGGCCGGACTTATATACATTAAGATTGAAAAGCTTTATTTTATAAAAATTAGGAGAGGATTTATTAATTTTAAAATTCAAATATTCCAATGGATAATGCACATAAATGTAAATACATGTTTTCTCGGAAGTAATTTTTTTTATTTCTAAAGAAAACAAAATAACTAAATATATTTACAGAATCAATATTTGTTTTAAAATGTATGTTTTACTTGTATTGTTGTTTTTAAATAAAAATTTAACTATAAAATATATATAATTGTTTTAATATATTGAAATTTTACTCAACTGGTAGGTTGCGTTCTTTTCGATTGTCTCCGAACACTTCCCCGAGCAGTGCCACGGTGTTCTTTGCTTTTAAAGGTTATTATTGATTGAAAAGTTAAAATGTGGCTGTAAATTAATGCAAGGTACTAGTTATTTTTCAATATTTTCAGAAATATTTCTTTATACTTTTAAGTAAAAAGTAATGAAACAATCATTCTTACAATTAGATCTAGGAATGTATTTTAAAAATTTGTTTTTATTTCTATAAGAAAATTTATAACATGTAGTCAAAAATTAAACTGTTGGCACAGATTTTTCACATAATCGTCTTTAAGCATCTCTTGCGACTATACATTTCTGACAAATTTCTGTTGTCAAAGCAGTTCTGGAAGCCTGAAGTCTTAAAGACATCATGAAAAATGACTTTCAGTTTCTGGTTAATGAATATCTAACAAAGAAGGGTGTATCAATGCTTTCTGGATCTCTTTAATCCCTTGATCTTTCCCTCACAGACTTTTCTCTTCCTAAAATGAAAGAGAAATTGAAAAGTTGCAGGTTCCAAACAGCAAGTGTAAGTTTTATTCAGAAAAAGTGTATATTGATTGCATCTGTACAGTTGACCCCTCCCCCTATAACGCGGTAGATACGTTCCACTTTATAAGAATTTTGCATTGTAGGAATCCTTAAATACATGAGTCAATCACAGTCCGGCACATGCAGTTTATGGACTACGGCTGTTTCAAAGGTTTTCTTCCATAAAATTAATCGATTCTAGACTAATTCGACTCAACATTTCCAAAACACGTATAATTTTTTGGGAATAATCCGTATGAACTACGCTATAAACAAAAAATTGTAGGATTACTTACCGAGTGTGCACCGTTCGACCATGCCATTTCTTAAGCTTGTTTTTGTCGCGGAGCAGCACACCAAATGGCGGGTGCGTTTTCTGATAAGTTATTTCTCTGCGAAAAATTCGTTGAACTTTGGAGACATCATTAATAGAAATAATTTTTATGGCCATTGAATAAGAAATGTTTCTTTCACAAGAAATGTATAAAATTACATTACTGTATTAGATTTACAGTACCTAATTTAGGCCTGTATACTGTACAGATGATAGTAAACACAACTTACCTGCCTAAACTCTCTGTAGCGTGTAAGTAGTTCGACTGCTCGTCCACTATTGGTCCAGATTCGACCAATCCTGTCGCGACACGAGTCGGCGTTAAGAGTCTCTTTTAGCATCTTTATATGAATACGGTCGCAATTTTTTCGCCGCGATATACGAATCCACATTATATGAACCCATGTTATAGGACGTCGATTGTATATACGGTATCTACATAAGCATTTATTATTATTATTATTAGTGGTGATGATAATAAATTGAGAGAGTATGCATCTTGATCACTTATGGACTGAGACACATATTACACTAACTGCTTGCTAACAGTGTGCATTCTGCAACTTATACTGTATCATTGTAAAGTTTAATCAGCGTATTGATTATTGTTACCGTTTCAAACTTCTTCACAAATGGTTTAATAATTTAGGATTATCTTATACAACAGATGAGCTAAGATTATGAAATTTAGACTGAAATTTGAACCTTGTCATATACAAGGCTGACTTATCTGCCAAAATATATGGTAATATCTAGAAAAGAGCTATTCTACCCATTCCTAACAGATCATATTATTAGCACATGTAATAAATATTAATTAATGTGCAAGTATTATTAAACATTTAGCACGAAACAAATTGGATGAAAGTAAGTAGGCATCACAATTTGTAGTTGAGTGTATCTGTTGATGAATGAGGGAATCTACAGGTCTGCAATTTGAAAATTGCACCTAATAACATAAAATCTACGTCTTTATATTTGTAAATGAGAATGTTTGTTTGTTCGTTAGCTATACACTCCTTAGCTGTTCAATTAATTGATAGGAAACTCGGCAGTTAACCGAGTTTCCTATCACATACTTCTAATTTAGATAATGTCGTACATCCCACCTCAAAATATCTATTGGATTTCTATAAATCAATTAATTTCTATCTACATTTGATTTGCTGATTTACACATAGTGCAATCTGTTGGCAAAAAAAAAAAAAATAATAATAATAAACTAAATATAATTCATACAGAAAAGGATATAATTAAAAATATTATATTCACTTAATTACTGAGACAATATAACGGGAAGTAAACCGCACTATATTATACTGAGTATCACATATTATTCACCTGCATGGAGTAGAAAGTTACACCATTTCCAGTTTCTGTTAACACTTACGTGCATCCAGCGAAAAGTATTACACTATGAAAACTATATAAGTATTTAATTTTCCACATCTAACGGCTCGGGGGAGGATTTTTCATTTCTGAATGGTACTTTCTTAATTCTAATAAGGTCCCACCAGTGCATCGCCAACACGCCAGCCACATGGGGTTTTCCGGATTTTATTCACGTTAGTAACACCTAAATTGGGGCCAGTTTCCCCATAAAAGTCTGCCTGAGAGGCATCTCTCTCTCTCGGAAGATGGCTCACGTATGGCGTTGTGGTAATCAAATAAAGTTTATTGGGTTTTACCGCAAACATTTTTCAAATTTATGATTAATAACGCCGGGCATGACCATTACTGCAAAGGATACTTTCTAAACCCGGGCCAAGCCGGGTGTAACAAGCTAGTTATTTAAATAGATTCAATTATTCGTTAGTGTTTTCAACTAGAAGAAGGCTCTTGATTACCAGTCTTCTAATAAACAGTTGCATTTGACCAAATATACCAAAATGTTATTTTAAATTCAAATTTGCTGTAAAATTCAAGAATCAAAATAAATTTAATATTATGCAAGTTAATATACCAGGGACACACCGTTGTTGCGCCAAACCGCTCAATTTTTACTTTAAATGCAATTTTTTTTTTCTTTTTTTTTTTGTCATCCCTCATAACTGTTAATTTTAATTAGACATTGTGCATTTTTGGATTAATAATAATTTTTAATATTTTGATAAATATCGAATCATTAAACAGTTATGAAATTTAATAAGTTTTATTAAGTACAAAAATTTATATACAATTGTGAAAATTCCACATACAAATTTAATTGCTAAAGTAATTAAATTCTGGTCTGAACACATATCGACTGTGTTTTTGGTTAAAGTTCAACGTGAAAATGGTTTTCTCCTGTACTACATTATTCTGTGATGAAACGTTTTACTAGTATCAATGGAACACCGGTCGAGATATTATATAAGTTGCATTGGCCAGTTAATAGTCGCTTAAACACAGTCTTTTATTAAACACGAGAACATTGGCCAAAGTGACAACGAAACATTAAACAATGTCGATGTTCTATGCACTTTAACCGAAGTGGGAGAACCAATCTCCAATAGAGTCAAATCATCCGTAAATTGGGATAGAAAGTAAAGTCCAGTCGATTAAGTCGTAGTTGGGTAAAAGGTCAGTTCTGGGTGGCTGTATCATATTCGGTGGAAAGTTGAAATCTGCGTAAGAAGACCTCGGCAGAGAAGAGGTTTTTCATGATCACCACCCGTTTCACAACGGGTGTATGCCACTCCTCCTCCGCATCTTTTGGAAGCACCTGCATTACACCAGGCGCCATCCTGGGGCTGGGCATGGCCCGAGGTGTGCCACTTCTTCAATTCTTTGAAATTATCCATTCTGCAAAGGAAAATGAGAGAATGTTGTAAAAACACAACTTGCATTAATTAAGAAATATTCCTATTCTAAAATGAAATGTAAATTTCTAATGCAAAAACGATTTGTTTTAATTAAACTATAAAGAAATTTTAACACCGGAGTAGATAAATTACCCAACTTCACTGCCTGTAACCAGTGTTCTTCTTCTCCAATGCAGAGGACTTTGCAAACGTTTTCGAACCTAATGTGGTTCTTCTTCAGGCGCTATGGAATTCCCTATATGAATTTGAATTTCCAGTTGCTTTGGAAGATCTTTCTGGTACAATGACACCATCAGGCACACGTGACAACGTTCCAGAAAGATTTTCTCAATATTAAAAATTTGGATTTTTGGGTAAATTTCGTCATCTCTGTCTGTAAAGAGTGGGATTACACAAGCCTTTTAACTCATCCTCACAGACACGAGCTGATATAATGAATTCACATAGAGTTAGGATATGCTCGAACACTATCCTAAAATAAGGAGATAGTACGAGAAAAGATAGAAAATAGGGTTAGAATTAGAAGGAACAATGGTAGAATCTTGCAATAGAAAGTTGTACTTTGAATTTTTATAATTCTTGAAAAGTTAAATTGATGTAAAACAAATATTAATTTTTTATGTTTTCTGTTTAATGTTTTACTAAAAAGATTCTTAAGCCTGCAAAAATGTAAAAAGTTTAAAAAATGTTTCTCTTATTGAAAACTTTTCTTGGATGCAGGAACCCGTTCCTTATAATGTTGCTGCAACAATGCTGCTGATATGTAATTTATGGTTTATTTACTACACAAACATTACATATAAGTTTTCCCACTTATCTAACCAAATTTATACAGATAACTACTGCTTTTGTGGTTGATACTGGGATCATCAGTGGTCAGATATGGGAATTTCCTGGTTAACTACCAAGTGAATAGCCCATGTGATTGCTTTCATAATGGAAACAAAGGTGAAATAAAAATTTTTTTCTCTTTCATGACAAGTATAGAACAAACTTTATTTTCATATATGTGTGACATCTGAGAAGCACCCCTTACTATTCTCCCGACACCACTGTTTTCCGGCAAATACAGAAACCTTTGATTTTGTTTTTCCGCCGGTTTGTAGAACGTGTGCGAGTGTCTACATATGGGGATAAATATGGACGGATGGAAGAGGGAAAGATAGATAGATTGAGTATCCAGAAATAATGCACTCCAGTGTGCATTTTAGTAAAATTAACAATAATTTATTAAATGAAAAGACTTTTCTAAAAGAGCAAATTATTAATGGGAGTCAATTTAGAATTGTGTGAGAGAGAATTTACAAAGTAGGATGCGTGTTGGTAAATACCTCGATTGTTAGATCCTTAATTGATGTCGGAATGCTGTGGATCGTCTTGACAAATGGATGGAGAGGTTTCTGCTCAGTTGGGAAAGCAAGACTCCTGGATGGGGCAGATCTTGGACAAATGTCTGGTAGGTATAGTCAGCTAAGATCCCATCAATTGCCTCACAAGGAGGCGGACCGGCCTTTACTTTTTATATGGGGGTCCTTCCCTTGTGTTCCGACGCCCATTTTAGGAAAAGTTATTTGTTGCTCCAATACGTGATTTTGTCATTAGATTCCTAATGAGTAGTCATTCAGAAGCTATGTCACTTGTGAAGGACAATCATGGGAGAAAGTTAAAGTTCCTGAACGGTATCTATGACATCTTTGCTGTTTAGTTTATATTTCATATATATGTACTAAATTTATTTCATCATTCTTTTTGAACAAAATAATTTGCATTAGCCTGGGTAAAAGTGTTCCAAGAAGTTATATATGAATCATTCCATAAAAATCGAGAGAGAGGTTAAAAGATAGGTTTTGTCTCTCTTTTAACTATTTCAACTTTGTGACATCAGGAGTATCTTCATAGCAGATTCGGTCAGGCCCACAATGGTCTAGGATGTTAAGAACAAGATTAATCTATGAAAAATTCCAAGCATCCAGTTCAAAGGGACCCATAAAAATATAGATCCCTTTGAATTCAGAAATTGACACAAAGGAGGAACTTTTTTATATTTATTGTTAAAGAATCTAAAGGTAAAAATCAATGCAATTCATTAGTTTTCAGAAAGGGAAAAAGTGTTGATTTTTCTTAAATAATAAATCATAAATTATATTTCAAACTTTGTTTTATAATCTTCATAATATATTATAAGCAATTTACAGATTGAATGAATCTTTTTTTCTGATATGTGGGTGCTAAGAAGGTCGTTTTCCACACCAAGTTTCGTAAACATTGTTTAATTTTTGTTATTTAAAGGCTTTAAAAAACTATGAAAACCAATTTGATATCCACATACATTTATTTTTATAAATTTAAAAGATATCAACAAGTACAAATTTATACAGATTCCATATATTTGAATAACACAATTATACTCCACAACTTCTTATTCAATCAGCATCAAGATTATAAAATTAATGAAATTTAAATCATTTTGTATTCGTTAATGCATGTACAGTACAAGTTCTTTATAAAAGAACTAAAATTCAACTTTAATTTTGTAAAAAAATGATTCATTCATTAATATTTCCTATAATTTGCTCAGAAATTAAAGTAAAAGCATATTTTATAAAAAGATTTAAACCAAAACATGTTGATTGGCGGGGAAATTGTGAATTATAAAACTTTCATACATATACACACGATTCATCTTAATAATTAGACAATAAATATATTAAATATAACAGTATAAAAGTATAAATATGGCATATGAGATATAAATATATAATTTATTGCTAACATTATTATTCTAGATTTTCTTCTTCTTCCATCAGAATGGAATTACCTAATTTGTGCTTTTTTATCATTTTACAATTATCTCTCTTTCCTTTTTCTGTATGGTAAACTGAAATGATAAATGTATAATTTAGTATAAGTAATTTAATCTGATTTTTGATTAAATATCACACAAGATTTACTCTACATATATAAGATATTTTATAAGATAAATATTTGGAAAAAATGGCAAAAATACTAATAGATTTTCATTACTAAAACTCGTTGAAGTGAAAAAACAGCTCTATCGATACTCTCACATTTTTGTTTAACAACACTGTAATAAATTAATGAGAATGCTTGAACTGAAAAGTAATAAAAAATAAAGTCTAAAACTGAAATATTTGCTATTCTGTATGACTTCTCATGCCATACTGTAACTTCACAGTCCACATTGTATACTAATGCAAATACAATATGATTTTTAATTCAACTTTTACAGTTAGAAATGCAATTCTCTAATTCAGAAAAACCAACTTAACAGTTTGAAATTATAACAGAATAATTTATATTTGGATTAATTTTTTTTTTATTATACTCTAAATCTGTAGCTCTTGATCAATAAAAAGTCTCTTACAATCTCAGCATTTTGTATTTTATTTTGACCCGGTTCTCGGTTCCGACCACTTACAAATCTGGTTTATTTTATGATTTGGGCACCAAATACTCTGTGCCAAATTGCAACTCCTGACACGTACTCCTCCATATCTCTATAGGTGCGCAGCCATTGACAGCAGTGTGAGTTAGAGACGAGACATAGTCTCGTCAATAAATGCTTTTATTCATCGTGATTTTTAGGATTGGGGTTGGTGGGTTGGAATGGCACACCACCATCATATACATCACTGCCAATGGCTTATCCAGAAGAACCCAAACAACAGCTAACTCAAAAATTAGAAATATTTGAATAATTATAACTACATTTTATTAACACATGCATAACAATTATATTGCAGATGGTCCAATAAATTATATTTGCCTCTGTAAAGTTTTTTTAAACAATGTTTTGTGTCAATTAGGAGGACTCTGTAATTTCTGTAAAGGAGTACAGATGCTGAAGTCACGACAACTTAGAAATTTGGATGAAATTTGAGTTGCAAGATTGGAGGACATGATACAAAGCAACTTAAATAAAAGCATTTAATAACAATTTTTTCAAATTGCAGCCCAAAAATTTTCCGTAAAGTGTTCAATTTAAGCATCTATTTATATAATTGAAATTGTATTAATTAATAAATCTATTTCTTATTCTTGTTTTGTGAAATTACTATATTTTACGGCCCATAAGATGAAACTTTGCCAAAAAAAAAAAAAAATCCCTACATCTTATATGTGAAGTTGAAATATCCCATATGCTAATTAATTTGCCAAACGGCCTTCAATTGGCTACAGGCAATATTTACCTGGTCCACCTCTTGAATGAAAGAGTTATTCTTTAATTAAACATAATAATAATAGTAATTATTATTATTATGTTTAATTAAATGAATGTTGTGACATTCACAACATAATAATAATAATTACTATTATTATTATGTTGTGAATGTCATACTTATCTGATACTGGCGCCAAGTCTATGCTGAACTAAAGTCAAGGCACAGCTACCCAAACAAATGTTACGTTAAGCTGTGTTATTAGTGTGTGTGTCAACATCTAGAAACTTCCTAACAATGTGATATGTGTTCAATTGTGGCTTTCTGTAGTGCTGTGTATATGTTTTTATTAAGGTGTAATGTTTCTAGGCATTTGAATAGTGTATGTGGTATAATACCAGTGGAAGAGAGGACCACAGTCACAATAAATACCTATCCATCCTCCACAGATGCCTTATTTCTTGGGTGAGTGGGGTGTACAGTACTTGTTGATTTTTTCAGTATTTGCATTTTTCATGTTATGAGTGTTGGGAATGGAGATGTCTATTACATAGGCAAACTTACTGCACTTGTCAAGTTTGATATCATCCATGTACATGAGATGTGGTAATGTGAACAGTGTTGTTTTATTGTGTCTGATATTGTAACCATATTGTGTTTTGTTAAATGTGTTATAAATGTATAAAGAGTTAAGTACAAGGTAGAAACAGAGAGGACTCAAGGAATCTAATCTCCTTAAAAATTTCTTTGCTCGATGTATATTTTTTTTTGTGTGTTATTGAGGTTAAGATATGTAATATTTTTCTCCAATGGAACATGATAGAACCAAGGAAACTAATGAGTTGAGGATGAATTTTGTAGATGCAAAGTGTCCGCAGCAGCCAAATGTGTGGAACACTACTGAATGCTTTTCTTTAATCAATGTATGCCATGTGTATGTTTCTGTGTTTCTTATGAACTTGCCATAGGTTCTTTCCAACCTTTCTGATTTCTACAGTAGGCTTTTTGTTGTTCTGTAAGAATGTCATGTTCATCAATATGCTTGTACATTTTGTTTGCAATACAAGAGATAAGAATCTTGTAAAGTGTTGGAAGACATGTACTGTACTTTGGTCTGTACTATGCAGGACCTTTGGTGGTGGTGTTTTTTGGTTTCATATAGGTGATGCCCTGCATGAGAAAATTTAGCATGTCTTGTGGATTGTTGATAATATGAATTAAATGTTTAGCTAGTTCCTGGTGTAGGGATATAATTTTTTGGACCAGAAACTGTGAATGTGTCTACAGCAGGCGTTATCCAGTTGTGTGCTTTCTGCATCATGCAATGGATGTCTTGTGTATTTATTTCAACACAAGGCATACTAAGTATGTCTTCATGTCTGCTCTCCTCTTTGATCCAGTCTGCTTCAGCATTGTGCATGACAGCAGCAGACCAAAAAGAAGACCAATAATTAGTGACTTCTTTTTCAGTTGGCATGACGTTGTGTTGGGAATCAGTATTAGAGTTGGTATTAATTTGCCTGTAGAAGAGTTTTTCATTATTTGTGAATAATTTATTTTCTTTACTTATCTAACTTCCTAAAAAGGTTTTTTGGACTAATAAACAAATTGTTATATCCTTCTAATCTGACTTTTTACTGGAGTTCAAGAGTTACTTGGAAACAATTTTAATTTCCAGATGTTTTATTTATATTCATTTCAGATCTAACATTTCCACCGATCCCCCCTCAATAATATTTATGCAAATATTTTACGATAGGTACCATCTATGACAAAGACCACACCAAGTATTCATAATCATCTAAAACAGCAATGTCCAACACGCGGCCCAGTCAATGTTTTTGTGTGGCCTTTTTAAAACAGTAATTATCTCATCTAGATTTTTATTACAATGAAATATCACATGTATAGTTAAATACATTAATACATTATACATCATATTAATACATTACTATGATGTATAACACCTTGTCACTTACACTCAGAAATTAAAACAGTTATTAAATTTTTTTAAACAAAGTTTCAAATGTATTACATATACAATATATTTATGCACTGTACATACTGTATGCATATGCATTTATTCAGTATGTTTACAACAACAAAAGTTATGTGTTTTGATATAAGGAAATAATATTGCAGTAGCCATACTTGGACCAATGCTATTTTCACCACTTGTGGCCAAGGGAGACTGAGAAATTTTTCAAATGCAAGCATCTGCCTAACTCACGAGCACGGGCCTTGTTAACTCAGGCAATGGCTGAGATGGTATTACATTTGGATCGTGTTATCACCATCGTTAGATCTCCACAGATGTGGGTTCAGTCACTCTTAGCTTCATTTCTCCCCACAGACCTCATTGGGTGACCCTACCAGCAGCAGATACTCCAGCCAGCATGGTTGTGTAGTTCATCAGAATTACTGAGCTCTAACCACAGCAAGGTGGTGACTGGTGAGAGAATTATTATTATTATGTCTGTTTCTCACAGTTCAACTGGTAATTTTGGCGGGTCAATGAAAACCAAGCCTTTGTTTTCTTATTGTTGTACAGGGTTGAGGAATCTGAGAGTGATATGGCATGCTTGTAAAACAACAACCTTCTGAATTTCTGGTAGAAGATCAAGTTAGTGGCAGTTACTTTAGATGCACGGTTAATGTTTTTGGAATTAGAGCTGCCACCGATATAATTATTGGTATTAATAGTATTTCCTTTTGCTTCAAAAGTCATTGAACTTCATTTTTCAGTGACTGATATTTGATACTAACAAAACAGGTTTTCCTTGAAATTTTATCAACAAGAACAATGTCAGATTTATTATAATCAATTGTTTTGTCTGTTATTAGTTGTTTATTCCAATATAATATTGCTGAATTGTTTTCAATTACTAGAGGTAGACTGAATTTGAAATAAGGTACCATATTACTAAGAAGTTTGAATATTTTTGCAAGATGATAATAAGATTATTTTGGTAATTTGATTGTCTTGTAGTATATTCTGTTGATGCAAATGATTGGCATCTGAAAACAATATATTGAATTGTTTCATTGGCTGATTTGCATGCCATCAATATTTTATTTTGTTGCTATTCATTGAATGGCATACATTAAACCTTCAATTTTGGCATGGTCCCATGATAAGTAAAAGTGTGAATTCTAATTTTATTTTTTAAAATTGGTACTAAAAGGTAAAGGGATGGCTTAAATACACTAAATACTAAGTACTTAATACTTTTTCCTAAATATTCTTTACTGAAATGGGAAGACATCTTAAATGCCATAAAATATAGTAATTATAACTTCTAATATTTCTAAAATAAATGTAAAAAAAAATGATTTTTTTTTTACTTTTTAGACTTTCTTTCAAGGAATTTACAAAAGAACCAAAATTCATGTCTTCCATTGCAGCATATATATCTGGAGTAGTTAATGTCTTTTTTTCTGCTCTTAATGCAAAATTATTAGCACTGTAAATAAAATAATAATCTTATTAGTAACAATTATGTTAAAAATTTGGAAATAATTGAAAAACAAAAACTAACCAAGAAGTTGAATATAATACAAAAACACTCGCTGCTTTAGATAAAGCTTCTTTGGCTTCATTAGATATAGATATTCCATCAGGAAGCTGCATGCACATATAAAAAAAATATAATAAATTATAAAAATAGATGATTGAAGTTCTTATTAAGAAAGCAACTATAAGCATGTTTTCATGTTTTGATCAATTTCTATTTAATCAAAACAATTTGTATTGTTTTGATTAAAAAGAATATTCAAAAAGCTCTTTTCTATCATGGCAATTTCAAGTCAATTCACTTTTATTCTTACAGACCCGAGTGGTCGAAATGACAAAATTGTCTATCAACCATTTCAAGAGATTCAAATGTAAATTCAGAACAGAATCTCAGGAATTTTCGTGGATCTGCTTTAAATGTCATGCTTCGTTCTATGTCTTCTATCTGTCTGACCCCACTATGAAACAGTTTTCATCATCAAATCAATTTTTCTTCAATTCTGTTAATAGATAAATGATAAGTTAACATTTATTACGGTACAGTACATAAAAGAAAATAGCTAAATAATGAAAAAAACAATTGCCGACAAGAAAACATACTTTATAATTTTACATAATTAGATATAACAATACTCACGGTATGCTTGACAATTTTCGAAATTGCCGACTGGGGAAGATTAAAATCGTCTAAACTTTTTGCCATTATACCCTATAAACAAAATAGTTTTATTTTTACATTTAATTTAATAAAACACAAATTCTGTATTATTGGAGCGCACAAATTTAAATACACTATTAACTTCCGTAACATTTTCAGGCAGTCGAGCCATTATCAAAAGAACAACTACAATAGAACTTCTGTACAAATGTCTCTGTCACAGTTATTCTCTTGATGATAGGCTTGATTGTCCAAATTGCTCAGCAGTCATTCTCAATTTTTCTTGATTCCTAGCATACTGTAAAACATGTAAAATTTTTCTGGCACACTGTGTATATAAAATAAAAAATATATTAATGTATTTTAAACTCCGAATAGCTAAACAGTAACTTAAAATAATAACCATTATCCTAGTACAGTGGTGATGAACCTAAGACGTGTATGCCCAAAGTGACATGTTGGGACACACGACCTAGCACAATTTCAATCAGCTTCTTTACATTTACTCTAATTAAAGCATATTCCTTTCATTTATTTAAATATTGTTATTCAAAGTCTAAAACTTCAGAATGCATAAACATTTTTAAAGATAAGTATATTTATTCTATGGCATGCAGACAAAAAAGGTTTGCCATCCCTACCCTCATGGTATAGCCTAGCTATTGATTGATCATAAATATAATAAATCTTCATAAAAATGGGTTTCTTCTCATTTTTAAATATACTTTTGTAGTATTTACAGCATACCTAGTCATATCTTGAGACGCATCATTTGAGAATCACTATGCTAGATAAATGGAGGTTAATTTAAAGTTGCGCGCTCTAATAAAGTGAACTTTGCATTTTATTTTATAAGTAGAAATTTATTCATTATATATAAAATTCATGAAATTGGCTGACAGAACTGTATGAATTCTAAAACTTGATTTAAAAAGTATTATCTAAAACTAATTATTGAAAAATTACAAAAAATAAACTAAGTATGGCAATATATAAAAATTAAATTAGCTGAAATGTTTAAGCTAAACATACATTTAAATATTGTCAGATTTTTCTAATCTGTGATAGGGCTATTAATTTATTATAAAATTTGATCTAGAGGTAAACGATGTTACTAAATCATAATTAATCGATTCTAATTATCTAATTAAATACTTAATATTTAAATATTTCTAGTGGAAAATATTGACGCAAAATGTAATTTAAACTTGCAACTCTTGTCAGCACATACCACATCAATAATTAATAATTTTATTATTAATAATATTACAATTTATTTTCATGATAAAGACATTTATAAATTTTTGTTTCTATTTGTAATATTTTGAAAGAATTACCTTCAAAATTTAAACTTTTATTTAATTTTTTATATGTCAATTAATCTTTTAAAATGATTATTGTAATAATAGTAATAATAATTAGTAAAAAATCCTACATTCAGGAACCAAAATTTCCTAATAATTTTGATAATGGTGCCGAGCAGAAATGTTTTTTCCCCTGTTAATAATTGTTAATTTGATTTTTTCCAAATACACAGACAATAAAGATATAATTTGATATAAATATATATTTTATCATATCAATTATCTATTTGTGCTATAATAATATAGTAATTACATGGATTTTCTTTCTAGATGAAGCAAATACAACAAAGACAAAGTCGGTAACTCGTATAAAAGCAACTATACGACTGTTTTGAATAACAAAAATCAATATATTTCAAAATTGTTATTATAACATCCCTACATTAATGTTATTCTAAAAGCCAAACAAAACAGTTTAAAACAGCAAATATTTTACAAAGTATTAATTTTATATTTGCAGATCAAAATTTGATTGCAAAAAATAGTATGAAGTAATTCAAATGATACTAATATTCAACAAAATAGTAATATATTATATTAATTATACATTTCTATAGCTTTATACTATTATTAATTGGATTTAAAATGTTTCAAAATGTTTTGATAGATTATATTTTGTATATATTTGTTAAATTTGCTTTTTTTTATTAAACACAGTTATATACATATACAGTATATTAAATTGTCCCTTTATTTTTGTTATAAATATTTAATTAATTTATTAATTTATATTCAGAATTGATATTTTATCTGGTTTATTTAGTGAGGCATCAGTTTTTACAAACTATGACATTTAAATATCTTATGACAATCTTTCTCTTATTAATAACACACATTAATACATTATAGCTACTCCGGAAGACCATCCTTTTAAATTATTTTCTTAAAACAGAATTTTTATTCCATATGACTCATTGTTTTTAATCATCCTTAAGCTGACCACCCCTCTATCTTCTTGTAATCACCTGGACTCATAGTTTCTTTGTGCAAAATATCCTCTTTGAATCAACTAGTTTCATCATCCTATCCGAAATGATGAAATTAAAACCATGGTATGTACTGTACAATATACAATTTTGGGTATGTTGTATTGTTGTGTTAGATGTAAAAATTCATCTCAATTTTTTCCAACTTGAATGTCTCTAATTTTCTCCCATTTGGGCCTGTGCTAGCAAACACATAATGTGCTGTTAATATCCTCAATAACAACTTAGCCTATGCTTCATTCTCATTAAACTGAATAATATAACTAAACCAATGAATTTAATCTTTCCATTGATAACAAATATTATGATAATAGATAATGATAAATTTGGGTAAAATTTAGATGGCTTTTGGATCAAAACAGAAAAGAAATACTGAAGACATCATCATCTGAAAAAAGTTAAAACTAAAAAAGCAAATGTTTGTTTCAGATTACTTTAAATCAGTGTTTTTCAACCTTTTTGAATACGCGACCCCTTTACAAGTTAAAAAATACTGGCGACTCCCCTAGGGCCATATTAAAACTATATCAGTGATTTTAAGAATTATGTATTTAATTTTCTTTCTGTTGAGAGAAATTATTGTTGACTGAAATGAGAAATTAAGAAGAATCGACAATAACTTAAGAGACGTATACTATGATACTTCCTTCTCATAATAACATTGCGTTTGTAGTGCTGTTGACCCTTTTTTTTAGGATGAGAGTTTTTAACTTCTACTTTTCTACCTATTACTTCTTTTTTACGAGTCAGCACAACATTTTTTCGGCTATCATTTTCTGGCGTGGGCCGTACCCACCCAGGCCCCTCCCTGCCGACACCCATCATTCAGATATATATGTCAATCAAAAAACCAACTGTACTGTATAATCTCGCTGAGATTGTAGTTTTTTTTAATGTAGTGTAGGACCTACAAACACTTGTCTTTTTCTTTTACCCACGACCCCCCATGTAAGGCTTCGTGACCCCCAGGGGGGTCGCGACCCACAGGTTGAAAAACACTGCTTTAAATTAAACATTTAAGACATATGTAATTCTATTTACTGTAGATGAAAATGTAATATATATGATGTACTAATAAATAAATAAATATTCTTGCAGAACTGGTATTAACCAATACACAGCATTTTTAAATAATACAGTGGTACCTCAGGTTACGAACGCCCCAGCATACGAAATTTTCAGGATACGACATAAAATTCGAACATATTTTTGCTCCACGATACGAACAAAAACTCACCATACGACGTTACATTAGTTCGCATTTTTCATTTGTTTTTCTTACTACAGTTTTTTTTTAATGTATTACTTGGCTTTAATTTGAGTGTGTTTTTCGCGTTGGAATGAATTATTTGGTTTTACATGTAATCGTATCGGAAAAGATGATCCACCTTACGACATTTTCATGATACGATCTCAGTTTCGGAACGGATTAATTTCGTATCCTGAGGTACCACTGTATTTACTATATTGCCTACACAGTAGCCTGTATAGTGTTATACTAGAATATCACATATACTATGTAGTACTACATACAGTATTCTGTATCCTTTATATTTTTGTCACCCACTTGAGATGACCAGTTTTCCTAAGTTTAAGAAGTCATCACTAAGAGGTTTACTGTATTTAAATAACTCTAAGCTTAATTAAATGAATAATTATCTATCACAAATGTTTTGATTTACAAAAAAAATCAAAATATTTACAATGATTTGCATCTTAAATATCTTTTAAAAAAAATAGGATATTGTTTATATTCAATAGGAAATTGTAATTAAATACTCCTATTCAAAACTGTCTAGAGTACTGGTTCTCAACTTTCCTGAGACCACAGAACATCATTCATACACTTTTTTTTATTTCGCAGACCATTAGCATCAATATATTCAAAAACTCAATAAGCAATTTCATGTTTACTACTCTCAGGAAACAGTGAAGCAAGAAACTAATAAACTTTATTGCATTGAATAAAATAGAAACATGGAATTGTCTACAAATAAAGTAATATGTTGTAGTACATTGGAATAAATTTCCAATAAAAACTTTAAAATCTTTTTTCTGTAGAACACTTGAGGTAAGTTTGCAGAAAACCAATTAAGAATCATTGGTCTAGAGTCCAGCAGTCCAAATACAACCAAATTTAATATGGTTAAACTGGTGACATTTAGGACATGCAGAAAACATTTCTGTAAAAAAGAATTAGTACCACTATGGCACTTTTGGTGTTGCAAGCAACAAACATTTTATTTATGTATGTGCTATACAGAATTTACTCATGCTATTCATACACTTTAGCAATGCAAGAGATACTGCTCAATATTGTCCTTATTGAAAATGTAATGAGAAGGCAACGAACAGTATACAGTATTCAATGGTTGGTCACAGAGAATCAATTATGGTCAGGACCATAATTGATTCTCTGTGGCTAATCAGCCTTGAAAGATGCTGCATGTAAGAAACATCACATGCAGCATCTTTCAAGGCTGCAAAATATGCTGTGTGTCCTCAATAGACTACACTTTTTAAGTGTCATCAAAACCAAAATCACATAGATTATGTGATTTTGATTTTGATGACAGATATGATCTGGAGAATTAAGTGGCCAGTTGGTAGGACACTCAGGACTAATAACTCTGTTATCGTTAAATGTTTTTGCAGGAACCACTTTACACAGTTGATGTACTCTATCTTTCATGAAAGCTGTTGACTCAAAGCATTGTTGCTCTTGCAGTTGAAGTACAGCAAAAGTGTCAAGCATCTCTTGATATCTCTGGGCCATTACAGAGCATGCCATAGATCAATTGACATAAGTTTCTATGAAAAATGGTCCTAGAAAGTGGATTTAAATACACCATACTAATTTTAGATGAGTGCAATGGAGTCTACTGAAAAAACATGAGGGTTTCCTTGGTCCAAGCAAGTTATGGATGTTCATTCCACTGATATAAAAATGTTAATTTGTTTTTAATGTCCAAAACATACAATTAATTATTAAGCAGCTAGATTTCACCTTGTTTCAAAAAACATGGCACTTAGCAAATTTATTATTAAGACAGTCAAACTTGGATATAATAACACCAGTTATAATGACAAAATACTGACAATCCAGCTAGACCCGTATACTTTAACATTACATTTTATCCTGGTATAATAACGACATAAAAACTTAACGTCATTGTAGCACTTCAAATGACTTCAATTATGAATAAGTGTAAATAAAATGTACACTATTTTAGTATGTTGTTGTTGTTGTTATTATTTAAATTTATATTTTGTTTTTATTTGTAACTTAATCAATAATTCCATTAATTTAAAAAAAAAAAATGTAATGTAATATCATCGTAAAATAACATAAATTTAAATATCATTTCAAACAGAATTGCTGTTCAAAAACCTGATGAAGCTTATTAACCAAGCTGAAAATATTAGTTGTATTAAAGTTTAAGTTGCTGGAAAATTATGTAAAGTATTGTGTGTCTCTAGTTACAGGATCTTCTACAGACATAACGCATCCAATTTAATTCTGGAAGGAAGGAGGTCAATACAAAGGTGTTCAATTTCCTGTTAGCAGCAAGCAACTGCTGATTGTAGCTGATCTTATACAAATGACAATGCTCTAACTTTCTCAATACCTTCCACAACTACCATGACACTACATGTACACTCCTGCAACATTATTCAACAACAGCTGTGGTAATATCTTTAGTGACATGTGAAGTGATAGGTTTGTGCTCTTGGCCAGAGTGAACTCCTAGAAGTCCAATTTCCTTAAATCAAGTGATTGAGAACTTGTGGAGTCAATAGTTTTCAGTGAAAATCTTACTATGGTAAAAGTGCAGACACAGCATTGACATTGTTTTCATACGACAACTTCACAAGAAATTTTTCAGCAAGGTAATGACCATTATAGCTGAAAGAATAATATTCAACAGCTGTGGCCACTTTTATACCCAGAACTTAGCTGCAACTTGCATGCTTAAGCAAAGAAAACAGTTTTTTTTTTGTTGTTTGCAACATCAAAAGTACAATGGTAGTGAGTTTTAGTGCTAATTATTTCTTTATGAAAATGTCTTTCATGTCTTGAAGTATCACCATACTAGATTTAGCTGAATTTGGACTGCTAAACATCTCTAGACAGCATTAAATAGGATACTTTATGATAATCTGGTATATCAAAAAAATTGTATATCTAGTGCGCCATTATTAAATTTGGATAATTATCGAATAAAATTGCATTTTAATCCTGCATGTCAGAAACAAATAAATAAAAAGGTTTAACACAAATATGACATTTTATCGCATATAAAATAAAAATAATAATGAAATACAGTTTAAAAGAAACATAAATAAGAACATTTTATCCTGTACATTTGAGATTTCATCAGTTAAAAGCACATATGAATATGGAACATTCTACATGAAAAATTAAATAAATGTTCTAAAATAATGACTAATTCATCCTATATAAATTAAAGATATCTGTTGATACTATTAAAATATAGTAACACAATAATGTTTATTAACGTTTTTTGGATTCGGTTAATAAATATTTAGTTCGATAATGGAGTCAGTTTATTAACAACATGCAAGTTTATAAAAATGTTGTTAATCTTAAATACTTTTTTCAATTTGATACAAATACTGCTTTAACTATTAAAGAAATAATCACACCAAAACCAGCAATGTTTTTTTCAAAAAAAATTAAACATCTTTAGTCTATTTCAGGGCTTCTTAAACTTTTTTTATTCATGAACCCATTTATGATTGTGATTTTTTTTGTGACCCAAAAAATATAAAATAAAGATATACAAATTTGCAAAAACAATAATGGTGTACTACCACAGTTCACTCTTGTGTTACAATGGAACAGAGACAGCTGAATACAGTGAAAAGCGACAACACTATTCTAGTTCACACTACAGTGTTGCTGAATTGTTGTCTCGCTGCACCAGAAGTGACACAAAGCGCAACTCACGAAACGTATGACACAAAACGTGCCATTTTCAAACTCTCACAAATTATTTTCAATATTTTTGCATTAAAATCTCGCGACCATAAGATTTCGCTAAGCGACCCCAAATGGGGTTGCGACCCATAGTTTAAGAAGCCCTGGTCTATTTGATAGATCAATGGTGCAAAACTTTACAATTGACGGACCAAATTGCAAAGTCTTAAGTAGGTGGGCCACAAATATTTTGTATATTCCATATAAAAAAAAGTAGACCTATTTTTATCATTTATATGTAATGTGTCAAATATGTTTGCAGGACAAAATTTTGGAATTTGGAGACAGTCCTTTGGGCACCATTGGCTGCATTCAGAAGAGTCTACAGTCGTAACCAAGCAAAGGTGTTTCAATCGTTAGCCGTTACGTGGTTAATCTGCCAAACGACGAGAAGCGACGTATGCATCGGAACAGGAAGCAACCATCATCGGTCAGTTTAAGCTAGAGACAGGTAGCATAAATGAAAGACACTACTAAACGTAACGTCAAAACATCAAACATGTTCCGAAACAGCACTACCGTAGGCGTTCGGCAGAAAAATACTCGACAGCTCCCGAACTGTCGAGTCTGCCGAACACAGCCATTGCGATAGACTATCAAATAAAGAGAAACCAACCAAAGCTGGATCTAAATATACAATGTAGAAAATTACAAACTCCATTAAAACATATTATACACTTTAAATCCAATTCTTAAGACTACAAATGTACATTTCTGTATAAAAAAAAAATCTTCTGACATCTCATTGAAGACAGTATTTACAGTATATTTAAGATTACCTTAGTAATTGTCATAATATAATTTCCATTCAAAAAAAATACTTAACTGTTAAAATTATACAAAACATATATTCATATTGGCATAGAACTATAACCTAAATGAGCTAACATTAATCTTATCCACACCTGCTAAAGTTTTTATTTAATGGTAATAAATTGAATATCCAATTATTGAAATTTAAATGGGAAATATAAATAATTTGTCATATTCAAGCTTGTGAAATATGTCACTGTATGAAGTTATTAATCAAAAATATAAATAAAGTTTGTTCATATTAACAAGTATATAAATATGAGAGTAATTATTCACAGTAATGAGTTAATATAAAATTTAAAAATGAAGTTAAATGTATATTTAATTAAAAGATTTTATTAAATTTCATTAATAACCAATAAAATTATATAAATATTTATTAATTTAAAGGAAATTCGATTTATTTCGATCAAAATAACATAACTTTTACCTGGTCGATTCGAAGAAAATCACGTATTAACATATGACATTTCAAAAAGAAGAAAAATAATCCATATCATAACATTGACCGATCAAATTTATCGTATGAAAATATAATAAATATTTTCATTGGCCATAACAAATGTATAATTTTGAAGACTACTAATCAGTTTAACCGTAACAAAAATACGTATACATTATTGGTCGAGTACATTTCATTCAGAAACATTAGTTAATAAGAAATGGCGAAATATAACAAAACGGAACAAAATACATATATACATATAAATTTATAATAAGTATTAAGATTTGCTTTTAAAATAAAATTTTAATGTATTATTTATTCTATTTATAAATTAATTTATATATATTATTTTAAGTATATATTTAATTTAATTTATATGTTTCATTTCGCCATTTATTTCGATCCAGTCGTGTTGATCTTCAGGATCGCAGAAGGAAAAAGGTTTCTTACTGTTTTGTATTTTTAATATAAGGCATTTAAATTTTTTAATATTTATATATTTAAGATTAAATTCGATTTAAAATAATTAATATATATCAAAATATGGATGAAACTATCTTTAAAATTTTATATTTTTCAAAAATTTAAATTAATGGTGGATCATGGTCTTTTCACTTGTGTTAATCTACAATTGAAAAATAAAAGAATTATTTTAATTTTAAAATTAATTTGTTAATTAAATCCATTTCAATCAAGTTATATGGATTTTTATTTCTTCATTTAAAATATTTTTAATTAAAATTTTTTACTATTTTAAAGTTATAAATATTTAAATATGTATTTTCAAATTTTTTTATAATTACAATTAATTTTATAAACAAAACATTTCACATTTTGACTGTTTATTGAATGCTGGACTTTATCTACAATGCTTTTAATGTAGGAAAAAAAATTAAGTAAAACTTAATTCCTGGAATTGCATTAATTCACCAAAAGGTCCTTGACTCTCTGATTCAAAACTATGCTTTTTGAGTTAAACAAATTACATTTGGATGAAGCATTTTAGTCAAAATTGGGTTTATGGAAAACATCTATTTTAAAAGAAAGATGGACGAGATGTACACGGGATTGCCAGATTTCTATAACTGAATTAAAGAAAGCTTTAAAAATGATTAATGCTACCACTCTCCAACTTTAACTCTGTTACATCCTAACACAAAGAGATAAAACACCATTTATTGGACTGGAATGATATAATAAATACTATACTCTAAAGCCTTAAATTATTTTCTGGTAACAGTTAATTCGAAACAGTTTTTTCGAAAAATTTTAAATAATTTTTAAATGCAAGAAAGCTTCTACATTTAAAAATTATTTAAAATTTTTCAAAAAAATCACTGTTTGATTTAAGCATTCTGTCAACGAATATAGAATCAAGATCTGATGAAGATGATCTTTAATTGAAGACTGAAAATGTTAGTTAAAAAACTGTTTTGAATTAACTGTTACTGGAAAATAATTTAAGGCTTTAGAGCAGTGGTTTTCAACTTTTCTGAGGCTGCAGAACACTATATACTTATTACATGGAGCATTAGCATCAATATATTAAAATATTGATAAACAATTCCATGTTTACTATTCTCAGGAAACAATGAAGCAATAAAGTAATAAACTTTAATATATTAGCGAGGTTGAAACCGAAGTTTTAAACTTGAAAATGTGTACGTCAGATGTTCAGTGCCGCTTTCTTGTAAGCCTAGACATTTGACAATGATATTTGGAATGTCGAGCACGATTCCACTGACTATCTAAACACCATTGTCAAACTTCTAGGCTTACAGAAAAGCGGCGCTGAACGTCCGATGTACACATTTTCGCGTTTAAAACTTCAGCCTCAACCTCGCTATTGAATAAAATAAAAACATGGAATTGTGTACGAATATAGCAATGGGAATAAATTTGAATAAAAACTTTAAAATCTCTTCTTTCGTGGAACACTCAAGGTAGGTTTGTGGAATGCCTGTGTTTCGCAGAACACAGGCGTTCCACAAACCTAAGAACCACTGCTTTAGAGTAAAGTATTTACCACAAAAAAGTAAAATTGAATGATTTTTTTAGTTAATACTAAATGCTATGTTTATATTTTTTAGATTTTGATTAAAAAAATCTGTTTTCACATTGAATATAAATATTTGCCAATTTTAGTTTAATTTCGAATTTAAAATATTTAATGGTAAATTGTAGCTTCCCGTGGGAAAGGATAAGGATTGATATACAAGTATTATAGGGATAGGCATACACTTGTATGGAAATCTGCCACTGCCATTACGAAACACAGGTACTAAGAAATAAATATAAAGGACAAATTGTGTCCATTCTGGTTTCGATGAAGGACAAGGACAGTTTAGCTAAAATAAGAATTTTCCTTCGAGATAAAGGACATCTGGTAACTTTAGGTTTATACCACATATATTAAATATAAATAGTAGAGAGTTTGGTTTTCTGGTGTCATTGTAATGAAAATAAATAAAAAAAAAACTTTGGACAAGAAAAAAATTATTTAAGTGTTTTGATATTTACAATATTTACAAAGTAATCTTCAGAAAATAATGCTGATTGATGTAAAATATACTTAGGCCTACGTGAATATTTTAAATTTGAAATAAAAGTATTAAAATGCATAAAATTATAGACATAGCATTACTAAGTGCCAATGTTATGGAGTGTCAGCACTTAATAATGTTTAAAAACTGGAAACAAACATCATCGCTAAAACTTGATACATTATAAAACTACCAGCCAACCAATACCGTATGTCTTCGGGCTATATAATGGCTATAATACTAATTAAGCCATTATATAGCCTAATAACTAAATTTATTAAGAGATGGTGCCTAATGCCTCCCTCTAGTACCAAATTGTTTCATAATTTATTAGTATTACAACCATTATCTATCCTGATGACATATGGCATTGGTTGACTTCTAGTTTAAAAACTGTTTGTGTTTGTTTAAAATTAACAGAGTTTTTCAAATAAATAAAGCTTTATTTATTTGGAAAACTTTATAAATGTAATTATACATTCTAAAGAAGTCAAAAAGCTCGTAACCGAGAAAGATCAGTAAAATCTGATAGAAAACATTTTTATTTCAATAAATTTGTAACTGGATTTATCAATGTTTAGTTTATTTGTTTATTTTGAACAATCCAGTTTTTCCACCTGCTTAAATAAATAAAGCTTTGGATTTGACACTGTTTTTAATAGTCTTACTTTAAAAATAACACACTACACAATTTGTATACTGTGTTATTTTTGAAGAATTGGCTTGAGATGTAGTAAAAGTTCTATTAACAGTCTTACTTTGTTCCACAATGGGAGATATTTATTGTTTAAAGCTATTTTAATAAGTTCAGTAATTTTTATCTTCTGAGGTAAAGCTCTTTAATGTTCTCAAATAGAGATTACCAATTTAACTAGATATGACTGAAATATATGTAATGTTCAGTGTATTTTAAATTACAAAAACCTTATAATCCAGGAAGAAGTTTTGGAAAAAAGAATGCTCGAACAGTCTTAAATGGTCATGAAGTTAGACTGCATATGTGGGGAATACAGTGATGGGATGCAAATGTTAGAGTGAAAATAAAGTGCACTCCATACTTGAACTTAATTATGACTGTTTAAGACAGTAAAAAATGTTTATTCTCAAAAACTTCCCGCTGAATCATAAGATTTTTGTGATATAAGTTAGTAATCACTTTAATTGGAAAAAAATATGTTAAGTGTATTTAAAAGATGATAAAAAAAAAAAGGAATTGCATATATTTTGTTTTAGATGTATTGGAATTTAGACCTTAAGAATTCTATCTTCAGAAGCTTTGTAGATTGATTATATAAAGCATTTTCAGTCAATACCAAGTCAGCAATATTTCCTTGATACTTTGTAAAATTATTCACTATAAAACCTCTACCATAATTTAATTCATATAAAAATTTTATCAGATACCTTATTAGCGAACATTTTTGTCCAAGATGTATTTTTTGAATATTTTTATAACTTTGTTAAGTGTCCAAAACAAATTTTCTTCTGGTTTTTATCTTCCAGTATATTTATAGAAACTTGCCAGATTTTATTATTGGATTTTTTTTATTTAAATTATTAGAAATTAAATAGCCTGAAATAAAATCCACTTATTTCAGTATATAGCTGAACCTGAACTAATGATTGTGTTGTTATTTTTAAGACATTATAGATTACCGGTCTCAGTTAATGTTTAGTCCAAATTTTTTCTGTTAGATTAACTTACTGGAGTAAATTACAGTAGGCTTGAATAATAGAGATTCTATAGATATTAGTTCTCAATTTTAGTGGCAAGATTTAAATTACAATATCTATCCATCATGTAATATTTGAGTAAAAGGTAATGATTATTTTGTCACTCCTGCAAAAATACATCATTGTCAAATTTATTTTGAATTCTCATAAAAATATTTAAATATTTCATTATATAAACATATTATTTGGAAAATAAGTTGTTCTCTATTGAGCTGCAATTTGAAAAAAAAAAATTGTACACTTATAAATTTCCACTGTCGTTTGTCTACTGTCTGTTCTTCCTTAATTTTGAGAACAGAGTTAGATAGATAAAGTCAAGACTAGATATGGAAAGCTTAGGGGCAGGAGGCCCCAATTAACTATATATGAACTTCTGGTTTGGACTGAAAGTCACATTATTTCAATTCAAAAGTTTTCCCCTGAAATGAGTTAGATGACTGGTGTGACTCTATTGCTAGTAGGAAAGTATGATGTACAGGGGCAAAAACACTATTAATTTGAGGTGGAGAGTGTATATTTTAAATTAAATTAAACAAAAATATGATTAAAAATTGCAGCCTGGCATTGTGACAATATCATAATAAATAATTGCTTGTATTTTATATTATATTTGTAATTTTAAATAAAAATTAAAAGAAAAGATTACAGAATTTTATGAAAGTTTATCACATTTGGGTAAACGATGAAAATTATGTTAATTATATCATAATATTTATATATTATACTAGCAGACCCCGCCACGCCTTATTGTGGCTCAAAATGTATCTATTATAAATGTATAACATTTCCTCCGTGGGGGAAAATTTTTTCTTAGTGTACATTCTCCTGACGTACCCTATTAAAACACAATCAAAAACACAAAAACCCGCATCTAAAATAGTATAATAGAAGCCAAGTTTTTCACAGTAAGCCTTAATCCTGTCCCTCTCCCCCGCGGGGNCAAGCGTTTTCGCTTATGAATTTAAACAAGTGCAAAACACGGAACAGGTTAACCAACGAGAATTTGGAAAATCTGCTGGTTGTTTCAACATCTGCCATTACGCTAGACATCAAGAAGATTGCCGCCAGCATCCAATCTCAGCCATCGCATTAATCACTTGGAGGTCCGGCCCCCAGTCAGTAAACTTAATCCTAATTTGGCCCTTCTTCAGAAAAGGTTGTGCA